TTTCTGTAAATTTTTCACTGCTTATATGTCATGTGTTTGTGCTCCAAAACTTTTTAGTACCATAATAATAAGTTTCACTGCTCCCAAGAATGACCTACAATATTTGGTTATTATTTGTTGTGTTAGTCTAGCAACAGTATAAACTATTGATTGAAGTTTGACATTTTAAAAAATCTCTAATAAACTGAAAGAAAGTCCAATTCTGTTGGAACTCTGCAGTGCACAGAAGGCAACAGATGTTTCCATCTTCCCTGGGCTGCACTTAATATGTATTCAAAAATATACAATTTTAAAGGGAACCCATAACATTCCTTTTTAAAAAAAAAATTTGTTTTACTGTTGTTCAAGTACGGTTGCCTCCATTTGCCCCCCACCGCTCTCCCCACCTCACCCACCCCACCTCCCATCCTCAATCCTACCCCCCATTGGCTTTGTCTACGGGCCCTTTATACCTGCTCCCTGATAAGCCTTCCCCTTCTTTCCCCGCGCCCCCCGTTATGCCCCTCCTCCCTTCCCTCTGGTCACTGCGTTTGTTCTTCATTTCTGTGTCTCTGGTTCTATTTTGCTCGCTTGTTTGTTTTGTTGATTAGGTTCCACTTAAAGGTGAGATCGTATGGTATTTGTCTTTCACAGCCTGGCTTATTTCACTGACTACCTTCCCATAAAACTTTGCGATTTGTCAGACCACTAACAGACATGAAAATGATGGAACAAGATCATCGTAGAATAGATGTTTATAAAAGCCCTCTTCAAAGAAGAGAACCTTTAAAAATGCGTACAGGTTTTAGGAGAAATGTGCTTGTATTGCATCGCCCCCATTGTTCATAATGATAAGGGGATCATGTAATTTAAAGAGTGATGTAGTGAAGGTTAAAAGAAAAGTTCTTCAAAGTAAAAACATTCTTAACTTCCAAAGTACAAAGTGCAGATCAACCCACTCATGTGTTTTCCAAGATAAAAACTGAGAAAGTTGTTGTCAAGTTCTCATGAGCCTCTGCTACCCACAGCCAATCTGTTGCTACACGTCGTAAGTTCTTTTTTGTTGTATTGCATATCTTAATAACTTTTTTCTTCGTTTGCCAAAATGAAACCCATATGCCTTCCCACCCCCCACATGGTTCTCCAGCAAAGACTGTATCTACTATTCCTGCTTATTTTTACATATTGAATTTTCATACAATAATTCAAAAGTCATATTGTCTCTTGAAAGTGACAAATTATTAGAGAATAAGGTTGATTCATGCCCTTAAGGATTGTTAAAGTAAATGAAGTTAAGACCAAGTAGTCTGCACACGCACCCACAAGTGGTCAGTTGATGCACAAAGCAATTTTCTCACAAAAGTAGGAAAAGACACGTGCAAAATTCATTTGCACCTGCTAGAAAAAAAATATTCTAAATTTAAAGAAACCTGGTTATTTCTAAGCTTTAAACTATCTTTGGAAACTTTGTAATTTAAGTTTCATTTACTTGGTAAAGATAGGACTTTAATTGAAATCATCGGTCTTTATCCTTTACCAATTTAGAGATCAATAAATTCACCTTTCGATGACCGATAATAAGGATGCATGATAAAAACCTAGTGATACAGTGGTTTGTAAACCAGCCCCCGGCTTATTTTCTAAAAACCAACAAGCAGAGTTACAGAAGTATCATGTATCTGTAACTTAGAGGTATAAACTCTTTTTAGGGGTAATTATCACTGTACTATTTTCACAGTATACCTTTATCAGGTATCAAAAATAAGGTCGATTAGGTCAGAAGATAAAAGGCCTAATTAATAATTTGCAGGGCTCGAATGCAAACCTTATGTGCTAAACTGTTCTGTCACAACAGGGTCCGCAGATACTCAGAATCTTGCCCTTTTTCTTCTCCTGGGCTTGACAGCAAAGCATGCCTAATAGATCATTGCACTTGCCTACCGAGTCCAGATGGGCTCTTCTCAACATTTCAGTTCAAGAAGATATTACCAATTAATTAGAGTTGGCACTTGAGGTTACTCTTTGTTTTGCTTTCTTTCCTTTTTCCTTTTTGGCTCCCAGACCTTGCTACATGAAAAACACATTAAATATCTTTTTAATGTGGTATTAGGAAATTTCGAGAAATGATGGCTTAAATCCGCAAATTTTGAGCTCTAAGGAAATTAAGCTCAGGGACTAAATTTGCATTTCATTAGTAATGTATAGTTTTCTGCTTCATCCTAATGAACTCACTGGATTTGATAAGTAATTCTCAAGACAGCATGTCCTTAGCATCCCAGCAAACCCACAGAACTTCTGTTCCTCCTCCTACATGTCAGTTTGGGTTTCAGCATTCCATGATAAAACTCACAATTTTCTTTCTGTGATACAAGTTCATAATTGGAGGTGTGAATAACAAGTTCGGGGGAAAATTCCTTCAACTTCTGCAACAGAAACAGATCCCCTTTGATTTCTGTCTAGTTTTAGAACAAGAACATCCATCAATGACTATATTTGGGGTTTGAGAAAATGTTAACAGTGCGGGAACAATGCTAGCCACCTTCTTGTAGCATTTTTGATTATGCATGTCTATCTTTAGTAACTGTGATTCATAACTATTAACCAAATGATGAATAATTCCAACTATCCCACCTGAATTAGACAGAGATACATTTAGACTATAAACAAGAAAAGGAAGTATGAAGAAGATGCAGTTAGAGAAAGGTAAAGAATAAAGTTTGGGAATGAAATATTTCTCGACTGAGGGACAATATAGGATCACAATACATCTATGTTCTTTTTTGAACCTCATTTCCTCTAGATAGTTACTTACAAAAACATGCTAAAATAACTACCAGAGAACAGTATGGAGACTATAGTTAATAATACTGTATTGCATATATGAAAGTTGCTGAGAGTATACCTTAAAACTTTTCATCACATGGAAAAAAAATGTTGGAACACATTATGGTGACAGATGATAATTAGACTTATTGTGGTGAGCGTTTTGCCATATATGCAAATTGAATCATTATGTTGGACACCTAAAAATAACATAGTGTTGTACGAGGTCTGTCCAGAAAGTATCCCTCCATGTACTATGAAAAATTGAGACATTTATTGAAGATGATACAAGATACAAGAAATGTTACACATAGGACACGGATGCCTCAGTCCCCTTCAAAGAAGGCACCTTGGGACCTCACACAGTTTTCCCAGTCGCCATCAGCTGTCCCATCATATTTTCCTGAATCTCATCAATGGTCTGAAATCTCCTCCCTTTCAAAGGTGATTTTAGTTTTGGGAAAAGCCAGAAGTCACAGGGCAGAAAATCTGGGCTGTAGAGGGGCTGAGTCACCTGGGTGATTTCATGTTTGGCCAAAAAACTCTGCACAAGACATGACACATGAATGGGTGAGTTGTCATGATGAAGCTGCCAATCACCAGCTGCCCACAGCTGTGGCCTTCTGAGTCATCCAAATAGTCTCCATGGAGGAATGTCCAAGCTTAATGCAAAATGTGAAGCAGACTCGTTCCGTTCAGTCATTTTGAATGTGATGGCCACACAGCACACACGCTCACTCAACCGTGTCTACCACCCCCACTGACAAGTACAGTGAAGTCATCATTGTTCACACATGCGCATTCCAGTCCACTCTCCTTGGCTGCCAGGTGACATCACGCAAACCATTCTCATTATATTAACAATGGCTTGACTTTTTCCAGACAGACCTCATATATCTCAAAAAACACCTAAAATAAGTACCTGAACAAAATGAGTAATGAAAAAACAAGAAAAGGGAAGATTTGGTAATTAGCAAAGCTGTTTCATGCATAGAAAATAGAATAAAGGTAGTCATAGCAAGAGAAGAAAACAAAAGCATCAAGTAAAAAGAGTAATGAAAAGAAAACGCACAGGACAGGATGATATGGTGTGAAAAGTCAAGCCGAAAAAGCTGCAGCATTGCAGAAATTGAGGATAAGATAAACTCTGAGGTTTTGATTTATAGGAAGAAAGGAAGGTAACTGAAAGTGATTAATGGCGTTGTTTTAGCAACAGAATAGGAGATTAAGGGCAGCTTTCTGAACTGACTGGAAAGGATGGTGAAGGAATGTAAGATGCTTAGTGTCTGAATCGGGAGACGGTTAAGATACCGGGCAAGAGAGATCTCAGCAGTGGACTCCAGATTTTAAAAATGCGATGGAGTGATTGATATAGACTAGATAGTCTGGATGTTAGAAGGAAACAAATCATTACATTATTATTAACAGTCATCACTGAGAAAGGGAAAGGAATAATTTAACAGGAAAGATAAGTTTGGGGGAAATTAAAAATGAAATAGGATGTATGAGAAATGAGAGATTAGCAGAGGATATTTCTTTAAAAAAATGGAGGTAAATTTGTAAATATTTCCCATTACAAATAGAGCTTACTCTTAAAGTACATGAAAACTTCTAATAAAACAACAGAGCATAATTTCTTCTATATGAAGTCAATCCAAATTCTAAATTTTGAAAACACAGGCTTATTTTGATTTATGAAGTTTTCAGGTCACCATTTTATTAAAACTTTCAGCGAATTTACCTTCCATCTTCTTAGGTTTTATGGAATATGTATCTAGAAAAGTGTGTTCCCCGGTTTGTACATTCATGTTTCATTCCTTATTTTTTTGAATTTTTATAAGAGTTTATTTGAGCCAAATTGATGACATATGCCAGGGAGCAAGCCCTTGCAAGATCTCAACTGCTCCCCATTTCTGTCTCTTTTAAATAAATTGCCCTCTTCTATGCTTTCTCCTCTTTTCAGTTCAAATGTACTATAGTGCGAAGAACCTTGGAACAGAACTCTTTGCTGACAGTCTTCACTGAGAGTCGCTGTGGTTTCCTGCTTTCAACAGTGTTTGAACAAACCTGGCTCTCCACCCCCATCCCAGGCAGCCTCCCAGATCCATCCTGCCACCTCCTCACAGAGCCCCGTGGATGGCCCAAGGTCCCTGCCACTGCTCCAGTGCTGTGAAGCCTCTGGTTCTCAGCTGCCTATCATGACGACTGTGTCCACCTTACAGGTGTGCCACAATTGCCACCAGGACTCACAGGCCGCTGTCAACTGCCAGATCAACCTGGAGCTCTATGCTTCCTATGTCTACCTCTCCACGTCTTACTACTTTGACGGCGGAGATGTGGCTTTGCAGAACTTTGGCAAATATTTTCTTCACCAATCTCATGAGGAGAGGGATCATGCTGAGAAACTGATGAAGTTGCAGAACTACAGAGGTGGCCAAATCTTCCTTCAGGATATCAAGACACCAGACCGTGATGGCTGGGAGAGTGGGCTGAATGCAATGGCGTGTGCATTGCACTTGGGAAAAAAGTGTGAATCAGTCACTACAGGACTTTCCCAAACTGGCACTGATAAAAATGTCCCTCGTTTGTGTGACTTTATTGAGACTCACTCCCTGGATGAACAGGCGAAATCCGTCAAAGCACTGGGTGACCACGTTGCCAGCTTGCGCAGGCTGGGGGCCCCTGAGTCTGGCATGGCAGTGGATCCCTTTGACAAGCATGCTTTGTCAAAGAGACAGTCCAGAGAGCTCAGCCTCATGGTCCCTTCCCACAGCCACAGGGCACTTCCCTGGTCACCAGAGCAGTACGTGCTTGTCAAAGTGACCTTCACCTTTTCTATAACTTGTACCAAATCATCCATGTATGTCTCTCATTAGTAGCATTCCTTCAAATAAAGTAATTTGATAACCCCTGGGGGAAAAAAAACCTCTTCGCTGGGCTTTATTATTATATTTATTTTATTTATTTATTGCACACACTCAAATAAAGTATATATATAAATATAGTTGTGTGTATACACATATATTCATTGGGTGAACTCAGACAAGTCACTGAAACATTCTAGGCTGCGTTTTACTATTCCTTCAAATAAAAAGATTAATTTCTACTCAAATAAATGAGGAATGTTATTAATGGAATATTAGCACATTGGAAAGTGGTTTAAAGAAGAAAAAGCACCAACACCAACCATCCATTATTCACTGATCTGCTTATCTATTCCACAAATTAAGTACCCACTGTGGACCAGGTTTTGCCTTGGTTCTGGGATTGCATCTGTGAATGGGACTAACATCTCTGCCCTCCTATCAGGTATTGGCAATATTAACAAATGACATTTCTGAGAGGTCTGGAGCCTTCTTACTGTGATAGGAAACAATGCTTAAATACTTTCTGCTGAAAGACATTAAAAATGCTATGAGGGCTGAGAGATAATCCAAATTACTGTCTTTTGTTCGTTTTGCTTTCCTATTGTAACTCTTCTATGGCTTTTAATGTCGATGAAATAACTTAATCTTAGATCTTCCTCACTGCCCAGCTTCAGGGAGCACCACTACCATTGAGTATAACGTGAATGGAGTGCCCTTGAATTTCTGTGCTGAGTTGCTCTAATTGATATTCTTCAATTTGGTTAATAACACTGTAAAATATCCTCAACTTTATATTTTAAAACAAATTGAGACTTACAGGAAAGTTTACAAAATTGAATCCTGCATTCTCATACATCTCTCATCCAGAAACACTTTTTTAACTTCATCTTAAATACAATTTCTTTTTTGTCTGTATTTTAGGGACAATTTCTACTCAGAAGAATAACTGTATAATGAAAACCTGTTTAAATGTGCTTCGCTTGCACAAGTAATTTTGGGATAAAGTTGGAGTATAGTGAACTAAGATTGTTTACTTATTATACAGAGTGGGCAAAAGTAGATTTACAGTTGTGAGCATGTGAAACACACAGTTAATAAAGCTATTGTAGTAATCATAACCTGCATGTCTTTTTTCATGTGAACAACTGTAGACCCTCTTTTGCTCATTCTTGTATTTATCTTCAAGCACAGGGGACCAAAATTTCTCCTAGAAGCACCATGTATGGAAATAGCAGAGCCAAAGAGTTGGACTTGGAAACAAGATGGGTCAGGGTTGGTTTTCATTTACCACTTATGAGTGGTGTGACCTGGAGCATGTTCACTGATCATCCAGTGTCTTAATTTCTCTGCCTGTAAAGTGAGAATAATATTGTGTATCTTTTAAAGGTTTTCTGAGGATTAAATGAATTCATATTTACAAGAGCTTAGAACAGCGTCTGGCACAAAGCAAGCACCAATTCTGGCTTGATATAAATAATTTGACAGGCAAACAAATAGCACTCATTCTGTTTTGTAATGTGAGACCAGGGCTACACTGAAACTCTAAAATAATAAGATTGAGAGGGGAAAAGGAGCATGTTTATACGTGTGCTTAGGTATATAAATGTTTTATGTCTAACTTTTCAGGGTTCCATGAAATGTAGTGATGTGAAATTGATTAAGTCAGGCTACACTTATGGTTAAAGGCAAACATACATACAATGTGGCAGTTACTGTCAAAATATTATTGAATAGAAATATGAATAACTTTATTCACTGAGTATTTTTTAATATGAAAAGGAATTTAGGGACCCTGGAACACTTACTTTTGACCTTCATTTCTCACTTTATGGTACTGTAGAGGACTCAGGTGTTTGGTTGATCTTTGGGTCAGAAGCCAGGCCCTGAATGTTGGATTTGAAGTCAAATCCCAGAAAGTTCTTAATATATAGTTCATTCTTATAATTTAAATTCAAGTAACTGAGGTCTTAAGAGCAGTTTAAATTGACTGTATTTGGAAACATCAAGGTAAGTAAACATGTTGGAGAGGAACAATGTGAGCCCTTTTGAGGAAGGCTAAACAGGTAAATGGAAGCTAGAAAAGAACCATGGAAAACAAAAATAATCAAAATTGCTGAAAAAGTTACAGGATCAAACATCATACATTGAGATGTATTGATAATGCCTTGAATGTGACAGGGGTCATTGAGCATTACTGATGGAAAAAAATTTTGATGGTAATGGAGACAAAAATCAATGGTAAGGCATGAAGGTAGGTCCTAAGTGAAATATAAACAATTTCTGGGCTGCGGATTTCAAATAAAAGGCAGTAGAGAAAAGGGGTTATTATATAAATGATAAAACTGGCAAAGACCACAGAAATGCCTGAATATTCTTTGAATTTCCAAATAAGATGGATTCTTCTCAACTCTCTGTAAGACATTTTTTTTTTCAGTCTCTATTGATTCTCTTGCATTCATAGAAAGGCTTTTGAACATTTGTTTTTCATTCGATCTACCTTTAACATTACTGGAGCCTCCTAATTACATAAATGCTTATATTATCTAATGAACAGAAAAAGCAAATCACCATTCATATCATTTCAGCTGAACTCAGGCTTGCTTAAAGCTCTCCCAGAATCCTAAATGCCATACATTTACAAAAATCAATGGCAAGAAAATGTAACTGTCAAGAAAACTGCTTTAGTTACTATTTACTGGAGTAAATTTACTGGACACTAGGGCCACTGAAACAATACAAGTACTCTCTATACCCTAAAGCTACCAATTTATTGATGGTGTTAACAATCTTTGGATGACAGTTTACTTTCCTTCTGAATTCGGTCTGCGGATCGCATTAAGTATATTTCTAAATAGCAACAAAAATGTCTAGATGAGAGTATAAACCAATTTCAAGTGTTCTCTTTGAAGGACTAAACAGACATGGGCACTTACTTCCAGGTGATGTCCAGATATCCTGATTAGAGATTAAAGTCAATTGTCAAGATTGATAGTATTAAGGGATCTGGCTTGAACTGTGATGCTGACTGAACATATTTTCCCAAAGTATGTTATTCATCATATGATTTATTTGCTTCTTATGATTTACCAATTACTGACATATGTGCCAATGAGTAATGAAAACTCTTGATGAATCCAGAATTTGGGGAGTCTGAAATAATACCAATAAGACAAAGTACAGACAAGGATCTCTGCCCTGACCCCCACGTAACCAATGTCTACTTAGCCAACATTTTAGATTAATAAACACTGCATTGCTTCTAGAAGGCCCACTGGCTAATGCCTAAGGTAAGATGGATTCATTCAGATAATACCGAATTCTCTGGTAGGCACAACGCAGGTTCTGTTCTCACTTGTTGAACATGTACCTGAGCCGATTTAATTAAGCCAGTTATAATTATTTTTATAGTTATATGAATTAAATAAAGATTATCAGCTGACAAATATAAGTTTCTCAAAGCAAAGGGCCTTGTAATCCCCAAATAATTAGAATCAATTCTACTCTATACTTACTGCTTAAAAACATGTAACTACAAAGTATTTTTGTTTATGCAAAAACTAACTTCAATGTTTTAGAAATAATAAATATGGTTACAAAAGAGATTCAAGTATTTGCCCAGACTAATGTAAAAATTTATTAAAAATAATAAAAATCTTTAGTTATTTATGCAGAAGGCATCACAGGTGTCCTTTAATTCTCATTCAAATATAAAGAAACTGAAACTGGAAATTATAGATTAAATTAGCTCCAGCCAATAGAAATATAATGCAAGCCATATGTGTAATTTTAAAATTTTAATATATAAATTTAAATATAAAATAGGTAAAATCAAGTTTAATGATATTTTTTGTTTAATCAAACATTCCACATTTTATTTCAATATAAAATTATTAATGACATATTTCCTCTTTCTTTATGCTAAGTCTTCAAATTCCAGTGTGTGTTTTACATTTACAGTGCATCTTAATTCATGCTAGGTACATTTCACATGCTCAGTAGCAAGTGTCTACCACATTGGCTGTCAGAGAAATAGACAATATGGATATGATTTATGTATGAGAGAGAAAAATGATGTACTTCATATCTGTGAATTTGTGTGGTAAGTGTGAAGTCTAGGTCAAAGTACATCCTGTTTTGCCTTTGGACATCCACCTGCTCCATCACGATTTGTTGAAAACGCTCTCCTTCCTCCATTGAACTGATCTTGCATCTTGGCAAAAAAATCAGTTGGGCAGACTGGCACGGGTCCATTTCCTGGTTCTTTACGCAGTCCCATTGACCTATATGTCTGTCCTCCTGCTAATATCACTAAGTCTTCATTTCCGTAGCTATAAAGTAAGTCTTAATATCAGGTAGTGTGATTACTCTAACTTTATGCTTCTTTTTCATAATTTTCATCTACTCTAGTGCCTGTGAATTTCCACCTAAATTTTGAAATAAAGTTTCTATGTCTACAAAGATTCTTGTTGGAGTTTTAATTAATTGTATTAAATCTATAGATCCAATTGAGAAGAAATGAGATCTTTACTATTCTGAGTATCCTAATCCATAACCAAGGTATGTCTTTCCATTTCTTTAGGGCTTTCATTTCTTCATCATTATTTTGTAAATTTCAACATATAAATCCTATACATATTTGGTTATGTGTATTCCTAACCTATGTAATCAATTTTCTTTGAAGTTAATGGTTTTGTGTGTTACATTTTAGTTTCTGCATGTTAATTTTTAGTATATGTAGTTGATTTCTGTATCACTAAAATTATTGTTAATAACTTTTAATAATAATATAAAAGTAAGTATTTGGAGTAATACTACAATGATTTCTTTTTTCAGAGTTTTTTAGTTACATTCAAATTTGCAATGGTTGTAGAGTTATTCAGGTAAGGTTTATTTCATCTTGCTTAAGTTTTGTAGTTTTGGGTTTCAAGAAATTGGTCCACTTCCAGGCAAAGTTGTTCATAGTATGTCCTTATTATCTTGTTACTGACTGCAGGTTCCATAGTTTCGTT